AAAAAGGTGGGCCCCCCACCATTGTGAGGGGTTGGTGAGGGGGGTTGTCAACCCCCGGTACAAATATAATTTTCCAAATTCTGTACTAGTCAATTGTTAAATTTGAGAGTGACTCGATATGTGCCACGCGTTGATCTAATTACGTACGTCATGCAGTTCCTTATAGAGGTGTAAATTGGGCCTTGTTGGGCTGGCACTGTTTGAATTTGAGGTAACCCAGTTACATGGGCATTAGCATAAAGCGTCCAATCCAGGCTCCGCTGCACATTTTGACACACTGCTTGCTGGTAAGAAGTTTATTAGTGGTTGAAGACAAAGTTTGTCTATAATTATTCAACGAAAATGAGTTTTAGAATAGTGAATTTTTGAAAAAATGTGGTTAAAAAATAGAAAAAAGTTTTAGGTTTACGTGCAAAATAATTTATATGAGAATGTGGTTGAAATTGAGTTTGAGAAAAAAAAAAAAAAAAAAGAAAGAGGTGTCAACATAATGGTAGACAAAAAGGCTAAAATGAAAACCCTTCAAATTTGACATTTTTCATGAAGAAGTAAAACAAGAAAAATTCACCTGTCTCTGTATTCCAAGTGCTAACTAGTGGAATTGAGATGAAATCTTATCAATATGACATGAATACTCAGATGATTAGTCGACATTTTTATTTTTCCTTGCCATTTGTCTTCAAAGGGAGATCGGTGAGTCTTTTATTTTAACCTTGAGGAGTTGCTCAATTGATCAGGCTTTGAGTTTGCTTCTCAACAGTCACCAGTTCAAGTATTTTCAGGGTCACTGAGGTGAGTACTCAGTCGTAAACTTCACGGTCCCATAGAATTAGTCGAAGTGCGCGCAAGCTGGTCCGAACATTCACACTTATCGAAAAAAAAAGGGAGATTGATGAGCATATTGTTTATCGAGGTAGGATCTGATGGTGCCTATCCTTTAGGTGAATTGTGATTATAATAGACCATATTATCGTATGAAAATTATTATTGTCAGGAGTTACTTCTCTTTTTTTTAAACATAAAGAATGTACCCATAAGTCACTTTTGTTTATTACT